TTTTGGCTACTTTGTACTTGTACTGAGTATTATAAATATAAGCAACTTTTACTCCGTACTTGACCACATTTTTGGTTGAATATCTGTACTCTTTACTCCACTACATTTGAACGGACGCTTATTGTTACTCGTTACATTGTGATTGTGCGCGACAAGTCGGCATCTCGATCTACTACGGCTAATTTGTTGGGCGGACAAGGCCATATCGCCATCTGCAGGCTGCTGAAGGTACTGTATGCTATTTATGAGCTAAATTACGTTAGCGTGAATTAGCAGCTTGCCTAATACCAGGTGTTTAATTAGCGACATGGCTGCAGCAAATGATGAAGCCGAAGTCGGCACATTAAGCAGTGCCAGCACTGATGACCATCCATGGCCTTATCTGAAAGAAATGGTTGCATTTACCGATATGCAGAATGGCTCTTACAAGATGCAGGGTCTACTTTGTTTGCCACGAGCCACGAAAACAAGAGATTTTTTTTTTCTTTTTTTTTTTAGAATATGCAAAAAGGTACATAAATTGGGATCATACAAATACAAAAAAAAAAACATCAACAAAAAACCATAACAAAACAACAATAAAAAACCAAACAAAAACAATATAGTCAGGTACTGTTAGGTGTGTGTGTGTGTGTGTGTGTGTGTGTGTGTGTGTGTGTGTGTGTGTGTGTGTGTGTGTGTGTGTGTGTGTGTGTGTGTGTCCATGTAAAGGTAACTTGGTGGAAATGTCAGAATACATACATTAGGAACAATATCAGCAAATAAATGAAGCAAGTATCACAGATATAAGTAAAGCATATAAAAAGGAAACCAGTCAGAGTTAGGGAGTAACAACAATGCTTATTAATATATGATAGTAATAATGACAGTAAAACTAAAACTAAACAAGAGATTTAAAGAATTTATCGTAAAATTTGAGAAAACACATTGAAGGAAAAGTCTATTTAATGTTAATTTAATGTGAATTAAGTGAATTTAATATGGTTACTGATATGGCAAAAACCACTGTGACATCATATGACTATGTTTTAGCTTAGTTCTTTTGTGCAATGTGAATTAATGTTGTTCTGAAATTATAAATTTTGCATCATGTGCATTCAGCTGTGAGTTTGTGATGTATTTTTCATTGAATTTATTTATACTTAGTTGTTTATTTGTTGGACATTCTCTCGATGGAACTCTCAACTTCCCGTATACATGGTGCTAATATGAAAACTGTCAGTAGATGGCGTTCAGCCTTTGATGTTGCGTCATCCTTTTTGAAGTCTTTGTGAAATTCCTTTGTAAAATTATTTGATTTGTTTATTTGATTTATTTATTTATTTATTTATTTATTTATTTATTTATTTATTTATTTATTTATTATTAGTATTTTATACTTTTGAAGTCTACCAGGGGTGGGATGGGTGGGAGTGAGTTTTAAATTTACACTTTTTTTTGTTTGTTTTTTGTTTTTTTGTTTTTTTTGTTTCCTGAAAAACTCAATAAACAGTTGTTAACAAAAAAAAAAATATATATATATATATATATATACTAAGTTGAAAAATAGCACTCCTCTTTGTTTAATATTAACACAGAGAAAACATCCTAATCAATTGAAAACTTTTTTTACTACTTTTTTAAAATTGTTTTTGTTCTATTTTTTTTTCATCTATTTTGCTCTGCCATTTTGAAATATTGAGATGTTCAGTTTAATTTCTATATTAGGAAATAAAACCTTTCTTGCTGTTCGTTGAGCCTGCATTCAGTATGAGTAAAATACTTTTAAAATTGGATACATTAATGCTTTTACTCAAGTCTTATTGGAATTGGTGGACTGAGGGCTTAATGAGAGGATCTGGTGAAAAACGTAAGTTTATTTCATAACAGAAAATCGTAATGGAATTTAAATAAGTCAATCATGCTTTAGTTGGGTTGCAGAACTTTACTGTAAGACCTTTTTCAGATCATGGTGATGCTTTAACTGACTGAAATGACTATTGCTGACTACATAATGTTGAGTCCTAACATCAGCGTTAAAGATCTGAACTTCCCATCACTACTGTGTATCTAACTTCAGAGCAGCCTTGCACACATATTGTACTTGGGGCTGATATCTTGTGGGCTGCTGTATTTGGATTTGAGGATGGGTGGATGATAGTGTTCATGTGTCTTCTGAATACAGGTTTCAAAACATATATGGCTGAGTTTAAATTATACAATATTTATTCTGTTGATTTTGAAATCTTCATTCATTCATTTTCTTGTCGGCTTAGTCCCTTTATTAATCCGGGGTTGCCACAGCGAAATGAACCACCAACTTATCCAGCACGTTTTTTCACAGGGGATGCCCTTCCAGCCGCAACCCATCTCTGGGAAACACTTCACCTGTACCTGCATGTCTTTGGACTGTGGGGGAGCACCCGGAGGAAACCCATGCAAACGCAGCAAGAAGGTCGCTGGGTCGCTGGTTCGAGCCTCGGCTCAGTTG